TCTACTCACTGTAACAATATCTCACAAACAAGCATTTTCTGGTTGTGAAATGAAAACCCATAACACTTCAGGACTCTGAGATCTCCTATGAAAAACTGAGTAGTATGATCATTTTAGTAATAATGCTTCCCTTCTCCCATTTTTGTCTGTCTTGTCTATTTGGTTGTTTTTCACTATTTGTTTGTACTGCACCAAGGGCCCTGTCACAGGGTCAGAGCAGGCTTGCCCACTTTTGTGCCTGTACCTTGTGTTTAGACTGGTATAATAAAGAGCCTTCTTTTGCTGGATCACCCAAGTGTCTTTATTTACAGTACTTGTGCAGTTCCCAGATCCCACAACAGTTAGTGCCCCACAGACCCTCCTCAGGCCCTTGAGGTTTCCTTGTTGGTAAGAAGACAGAGATACTACCCTCCTATCTCCTCTCAGGCTAGCCTCCTCACTGAGGTTTGCCCAGAGCTTTTATAGCCCTCTCCTGCTCCAGCCCAGCTGTCACTACTTAGCTCCCTATGTTCCTCTAAGCCAGCCCTCATTAGGGCTTGCAGCTGGGCTCCCTGCTGAGTACCTGCATCTCTACACCTGGTCTCCTGGCCCCAGAGCAGGCTGCAGCCAGTATTTTGGCAGGGCTTCAAAGGGGGTTTTACCCCTTCCCCTGCCACAGACCCCAAGCAGAGCTGGGTGCTCTAGAGTATTACAAATAAGAAATACAATCTTGAAAATACCTAGTAGGGATGAATGGGCAAACCTCAGAAGTTTGAGCATTTGTGAACCTCTTGAGCTATTTTTGAGGTTTGCAAGGTTTGAAAAAACTCTTACCTTCTCAGATCTTTTTCTTCTGTAATTTACTCCCATGGGATTTTGTGTTTTCAAACTAAGCTGGTGAATAATGAGTAACTGCAATTGTCATAAGATGAGGATGGATTCTACTTTTCAACCTCATTCCCGAATAAAACATTTGGGATCTTCTCAACTTCATATGCTTTTCTGTTGTTCTCTTACACTTTTCTTACCTGCAGTAAAGGCCAGCAGGTGATAGCGAGCTGTATAAAGTTGTGAGCGCATGGGGTCTAGGAGTCAGCGCTTCTAATAGTCTCAGCTCTGCAATTGATTTTCTCCTTGCTAACTTGATGAGCACTCAAACCTTGCTTCACTACAGTTCACCAGTCTTTAAAATGAATATTACTCCCCAAACTCCAGATATTTAGTGACTTCACATGGGTGTTGTGAGACTAAAGGAATTAATGTTTGTAAAATACTTTGGGATCATTTCCATATTAATGTCTAGTATCTATATCATCATTGCTGCTTTCCATAGGTTTGATGAGAAATTCTATTGGTATCATTTATGTCACTATAATGTACACAGATTGGATTCTTTAGGAAAGAGCAATGAGATTTTAAGTGGCATTGAGATACATATAGGGCCAGATTGTCAGCTGGTGTAA